TCAAACACCTGGAGGCTAAATAGCATGCTATTAAACAATGACTGGGTTATCAGAGAGATCAAAGAAGAAATTAAAAGCATCATGGCAACAAACAACAATGAAAACACAACAATCCAAAATCTATGGGACACAGTGAAAGCAGTCTTGAGAGGGAAGTTCATAGCTCTACAAGCCTACCACAAAAAAACAAGCAACAATGGTAATAAATTAGCTAACCCTACAACTCAAAGAGTCAGAAAGAGAGCAACAAGAAAAGCCCAGCATGAGCAGAAAGAAGGAATAATAAAGATCAAAGCAGAGATAAATGAAATAGAGACCAAAAAAAAAAAAAATACAGAAGATCAACAAAACCATGAGCTGGTTCTTTGAAAGGATAAACAAGATTGATGAACCTCTAGCCAGACTCACCAAGAAGCAAAGAGAGAGGGCCCAAATAAATTAAATCAGAAATGAAAGAGGTGAAATAACAACTGATCCCACAGAAAGACAATTATGAAAAAATACTATGAACAGCTCTATTCTAACAAGAAGGACAACCTAGATGAAATGGACATATTCTTAGAAAAATACAAGCTCCCAAAACTCAACCAAGAAGAATCAAAAAACCTGAATAGACCGATAACTACTGAAGAAATTGAAACAGTGATCAAAAATCTTCCAGCAAACAAAAGCCCTGGTACGGATGGCTTTACAGGGGAGTTCTACCAAGCATTCAAAGAAGAACTAAAACTTATCCTCCTCAGACTATTCCAAAAAATTCAAGAGGAAGGCACACTTCCAAGCTCTTTCCATGAAGCCAACATTACCCTAATCCCAAAACCAGATAAAGACACCACAAAAAAAAGAGAACTATAGCCAATATCCTTGATGAACATAGATGCTAAAATCCTCAACAAAATTCTAGCAAATTGGATTCAGCAACACATTAGAAAGATCATACATCATAACCAAGTGAGATTTATTCCAGGGATGCAAGGATGGTACAATACCTACAAATCAATAAATGTGATACATTACATAAACAAACTGAGAGACAAAAATCACATAATCATACCAATTGAGGCAGAAAAAGCATTTGACAAAATCCAACACCCTTTTCTGATAAAAACTCTCAGCAAAGTGGGAATAGAGGGAACATACCTCAACATAATAAAAGCCTTATATGACAAACCTACAGCCAACATCATACTCAGTGGTCCAAAACTAAACCCATGTCCCCTAAGAACAGGAACAAGACAAGGATGCTCACTTTCACCACTCCTGTTCGACATAGTACTAGAGGTACTAGCCATAGCAATCAGACAAGAAGAAGAAATAAAAGGCATCCAAATTGGAAAAGAAGAAGTAAAACTGTCCTTATTTGCAGATGACATGATACTATACATAGGAAACCCCAAAGACTCCATCAAAAAACTACTAGACCTAATAAATGAATTTGGCAATGTAGCAGGATACAAAATTAACACCCAAAAATCTATGGCCTTTTTATACACCAATAGTGAACTTACAGAAAGAGAGATTTAAAAATCCCATTTACCATTGCACCAAAAAAATTAATATATCTAGGAATAAACTTAACCAAGGACATAAAAGACCTGTACTCGGAAAACTACAGGACATTGAAAAAAGAGATAGAGGAAGACATAAACAAATGGAAGAACATACCGTGTTCATGGATTGGTAGAATCAACATCATTAAAATGTCCACACTACCTAAAGCAATCTATAGATTCAATGCAATACCTATTAAAATACCAATGGCATATTTCAAAGATCTAGAACAAACTCTCCAAAAAATCATCTTGAATAAAACAAAAAACAAAAAAGACCCCGAACAGTCACAGCTGTCCTGAGGAAGAAGAACAAAGTTGGAGGAATCACAATACCAGACATCAAACTATATTACCAAGCCATGGTTCTCAAAACTTCCTGGTACTGGCACAAGAACAGACATATAGCAAGAACAGACATAGAGACCAATGGAACAGAATAGAGAACCCAGAAATTGACCCAAGTCATTATACTCAATTAATATTTGACAAAGGAGGCAAGAGCATACAATGGAGCCAAAATAGCCTCTTTAATAAATGGTGCTAGGAAATTTGATCAGATACATGCAAAAAAAAAAAATGAAACTAGATCACCAACTTACACCATACACAAAAACAAACTCAAAATGGCTAATGGACTTGAATGTAAGACGGGAAACCATAAAAATCCTACAAGACTCCATAGGCAGCAAAATTGCAGACATATGTTGTAGCAATATCTTTACAGGCACAGATCCTAGGGCAAGAGAGACTAAAGAGAAAATAAACAAATGGGACTACATCAAAACCAAAAGCTTCTGCACAGCAAAAGAAACCATCAACAAAACAAGAAAGCCCACTGCATGGGAGAATATATTTGCCAATGTTACCTCCGATAAGTGTTTAATCTCCAACATTTACAGGGAACTCATACAACTCATCAAAAGGAAGATAAACAATCCAATAAAAAATAATCAAAATACCTAAATAGGCACTTTTCAAAAGAGGACATTCAAAAAGCCAAGAGACATATGAAAACATGCTCAAAGTCACTAATCATCAGAGAGATGCAAATCAAAACAACAATGCGGTACCACCTCACACCTGTCAGAATGGCTATCATCAACAAATCAACAGATGACAAGTGCTGGAGATGATGCAGAGAAAAAGGAACCCCCCTTCACTGCTCGTGGGAATGCAGACTGGTGCAGCCATTGTGGAAAACAGTATGGCATTTTCTCAAAAATTTAAAAATAGAACTGCCATTTGACCTAGTAAACCCACTTCTAGGAATATATCCCAAGAAAACAGAAACACCAGTCAGAAAGGATATATGCACCCCTATGTTCATAGCAGCACAATTTACAATAGCTAAGATTTGGAAACAGCCTAAATGCCCATCAGCAGATGAGTGGATTAGAAAACTATGGTACATCTACACAATGGAATACTACGCTGCTATAAAAAAAGAAAGAATTCTTACCATTTGCAGCAGCATGGATGGAACTGGAGAGCATTATGCTAAGTGAATAAGCCAGGCAGTGAAATAAAAATACCACATGAACTCACTCATTTATGGATAATAAAGAACATTATAACCTGATGAACAAAAAGATAGATACAGAGCAGAGAAGCATCGAACAGACTGTCAAAGTACAGCAGGAAGGCTGGGGAGTGTTGGGGGTGGTAGGTAAGAGATCAACCGAAAGACTTGCATGCATGCATATAAGCATAACCAATGGACACAAGACACTGGGGGGGGGCAGGTGAGGGCATGTGCTGGGGGGTAGGGGCGGCAGACATATGTACTACTATTTGTAATACTTTAAATAATAAAATAAATTTTTTTAAAATGAACCTAAAGTTTAGTTAAATAGCTGGTGAATCCATTTATTCCAACTATGGTTAATGTAGTCAAACCCTAATGTTGGTTTTTGCCCCCTAACTCAATAACCTGATATTTAACATTTTGTTTGAGATTGTGTTGACAATTCCTACAGCTATAAACCTAGTACACCAAGCTACAATCACCTTGGAATCTGACACATGGGCCCATTCAAAAGCCCAACTAAAATTAGAAAAGTAATCGTTATATTCTAAAAATAACAATTACTAATACTATTTTTACACTTCATCAGGTACCTATATATGTAGTCTCATTTAATTCTTAGCACAACTCTTGTTATGAAGTGGTTCTGTCACTGCTATTTCACAAATAAGGAAACTAAGGCCCTGATAGAAGACATGACTGGTGCACAGTCAAGCAGCTAGCTCAGTATCTCCTGACCCCTGGGGCCACTGCTATTTACACTCCTAAAAGTCTCTTCTTTCTTATTCTTACCTCAGTTACTTGCCTTGGACTTCCTCTACCTGAATTAGAATTCTGTCCCTTGAAAGCTGGGTGAAGGGTGCATGGTGACTTTGTACCATTTTTGCAACTTCTTGTGAGTCCTACTCTTTTAAAATAAGTTATACCAGTAACAAAAAAAAAATGATCTGAAGGGTAGAAAAAATCAGGTCAGTTGTCCAGTTGCTTTGAAAACCCAGTAAAAGTTGCCTCTGCTAATTTTTAAACTTTTTCACTAAGTCAGTTAGTTGTTAGGTCATCTTTTGTGGACCTAGCTGAATTTCCTAAGAGTCAGGCACGACTGAGTGCTGTCCTTCATGGAATCCACCCAAGATCCCTTACATCAGGCTTTCTCTAGTACAACATTTTCTCTAGGATAACTTCGTGGTTATGAGGTACACAGAAGGAATGCTAGCATGCAGTCAAGCAAGCTGAGAACCAGAACCAAGCCAAAAACTATTTCTAGACTTGGTGTCAAAACTAAATTCTATGCTTTGACTTCATTTAGTGGTGCCTGCCACCTGTGCAAATACTAGGGGACCTACCAACACATTATCTGGTGGCCTCCATGAATATATTACTGCTTGGGGTCCCATCACTAGGGGGCAACCTAAATTTCCCTATGGTAGAAGTGATATAACTCTAAACCCTGATGAACAAGGAAGAATAAGAAGGGAATCTGTATAAATTAGAGAGGTCAATATATCCCTTCATTCTGATTTCTAATCACATAAATAATTTACCTTTGTATGTTCTACTTCACTGGTAAAGAGGGAGAAGGAAGACCCACTCCTTAGTAGGTATCTGACTCACATAAGATTATATAATTATTGAAAATTGTGTCCGTAACTTTGAGGCTTAAATTGGGGGAAAACAACCAACAACCTTATATCAAGGATCTAGCACATGGCAAGAGTTAAGACATAGCCCACCCCTCCAGGATTGTATGGTCTGGTGGGAGAATAAAGACCAGGGTCATCTGAGGAAGGTGAAAGTCATTCGGATTCAAAGGCCAGAGATACTCCATAGTTGGAGAATCAGAAAAAGCTTTGTGATTGTGAGTGTGCTAGATAGGGGAACCAAGACAGAGCTTCAAATGAATTTTGCATCTCTTTTTTTTGTAGGCCCATAACAGAAACCTGCTGTCCATAGATTTTGATCATATAACACGCACAGGAAAGATCTATGATGACCATCGGAAATTCACCCTTCGAATTCTTTATGATCAAACTGGACGACCTGTCCTGTGGTCTCCTGTAAGCAGATATAATGAAGTGAACATCACGTATTCACCTTCAGGACTGGTGACATTTATTCAAAGGGGGATGTGGAATGAAAAAATGGAATATGACCAGAGTGGAAAAATAATTTCAAGAACTTGGGCTGATGGGAAAATTTGGAGCTATACCTACTTAGAAAAGGTAAGTATATGGGGAAAATAAACTAGTTATGAGATCTGACTGAGAATATTGAAAGTGGTCCTAATTACCCACCTTGGTAAGAACTGGCAAGAGAAAAGTCTTTGTTCTGGGTGTGTGGGTGGGTGGGTGGGTGGGTGTGTGTGTCCTATAAGAATAAGCTGTTTTGCAACTGAAAACTTTCCGTAACCCCACACTCTGCCACCTACTTCAAATTGAAGTCAGGATAATGGCTTAGCTTTCTCCTCATTTGAGCATATTCAGTCATGCTCTTGAAAATGTATCTTTATTATTATGAAAGCCCATACTGAGGAAAATAGGTAGAAAATTATAAAATTGTGTGTTGATGTATCTTAGCTCTGGAAAAGAGCCTCTTACACAGAGGACGAAGAATTCTAATTGTGTTAGGATAGTCAGTGACATTTTAGTAGTATACATTTGAGGACTAATTTTCACAAGTAATCAACTGTCAGAGGGAATTGTGGCAGTGGGGCTCATTGGTTATAGTCCTTTGTGTACAGCGAGTCTCCAGTAGCATCCATGATAGGAACTTGTGGCCTCTGTTTGGTAGGAATAGACAAGGACTTTAACCCCACCACCAAAACCATTTGTCAAACATTAGCCGTCACACAGCAAAATACCTTCTAGCCAGATCAGTAGCAGAGGACAATAACAGAAATTGATCTCTATCTGCCATCTCAATTTCTAATATCCTAAGATAGTGTCTCTTGTTTCCTCAATCTATCCATTCAACTGAAATTACCAGTGCTGAATTAATTTCTGAGAAAATTGAAAAATGCTTTCCCTTGACCAGTCAAGGTAATGAGCACAAGGTGACCCTAGAAGCTCTTAGAAAAGTTATAGGAATTCATAGATCACAAGGCAAAATTTTGCTTTTGCACCCAACGATGCCAAGCCTTTCTGATATGCCCCCAGGGTTTCAAACAAAAGTGTGCCAGTGGTTGTATGTCATTATAAAAAATGATTGTACTATTTCCGAGAGTCAGTCACTGGGGAATTTGCCAAGTTGGAAATGCCTAGGAGATAAAGCTGGCCCCACTTGGGAGGCAGGATAAAGGAGGGAGTTTTCTGCTGTATCCCCCCGTCCTTTTCTGCTGAAGAAATCTATTATATCTATATTCTCTACACTGGGAACATATGAATCTTATAGAGTGGGACTTTCCTCTTTTGAATTGCAATAACAAGAATGACTGGCAAAATCATATGACTGATGTCCACAAAGGGCTGAACCTCTTACAAAATTAACCAAATCCAAATATTTGGTGTTATGTTTACATAAGCATATAATTACATATAATGATGACCTTCCTATAAAAAAAGATGCCACTGTAATGGAATATAGGCTGGCTTATTTTTTCAGGAGTGAGGATGGGTTTGCAGTGCTTCTTTCATGGGTCCTACATGTGGCTAGTGCAATAGCTAGCTCTCTTTAGGGAAACTACATGGGTTTAAACTCATAACCCCAACCTCATTAACACTGTAGTCTGGCTCCTGAGCTAATTGCCTATGGATAGTTGCATCTGGCTCTCAGAAGACTTTCCCTTTAGACTATCTATGCAATAACAAAAGAGCCTATTGAACACTTACATTTCAGCCCTGCATGCAGTATTAGGCTCGGAAGCAATTTTATTGTTTCTCTTTTCTGAATTAGCTGATTATTTCATCAAACTTACTTGAGTGAAGAATCATGTGAAGCAAACTTCACATAAGTTCTCTTTGCAGAAACTTAGTTGGCAATAATTCTTTCAAAACAAAACAAAGAAAATTATGTGAGACTGTCAGTGTCTTCAGTGGACAAAAATAAGACCTTATTGACACGGAATAATGTATCAAGAATAGCCCGGTGACTTCCAAAGACTAGTTTCTTGACAAGCGAGACAAACCAAATCACTTGTGCCTTTTAGTTTATTTTTGTCCCTTTCTTCATTTCTAATTTGTTCTCTAATTAAAACATAGCCCCTGACTTAAGCAATCCTATTATGCAAAACTCAGAACCTACAAAATACATGGTTCTTTACTTTCTAAAAATTATTTACCATGCCATTGCAATGTTAGGTGATAACTAATTCACTGAATAGAGGTGATGATTAAATGAAATAACTTAATATAAAGCACCCTAGCACATCTTGTCATTCAAAAAAGTTAGTTTCTTTCTATTTGAATACTGCATTATAGTATTTATTTTAAAGTTGATAACTTAAATGCTAGCACTTACTGCTACTTGAAGGTAAATTAACACAGGAAAGAGTGGAAGGGAGGGAAGAAATTAAAGCATCTTTGAAATTGTGATTCTAGGGGGAAAAGGGAAAGAATATTGAATTTATAAAATCCTATTTACATGTAACTTTTTCAATGATGTAATCAGGTTCTCTGTCTTCCTATGCTCATTTCAGTCCTCTCTTGAACATGGCCTTTGCTTGCACATTTTTTCACTATATCTGGGGGAGAGCAAGGACAAAGAGGCTGGCTTTTGTACTATATTTTAAAGTACAAATTCTCAAACTTTCAAATGTATATTTCTTTTTATACCTCAAAATACCTCTGGTATTACCTCTGTAAATTTGCTTGCCATCCCTATACCATGATATATTTTAAAAGCAACAGCAGATATTTCACCTGAAGGTGCAGAAATTTTGTAAAATTTCTTTGACTTCCTCTAGAATAAGTGAAAGTTATACGGATCATTTTTATGCACAATGGTTTGTAGCCATTAGGAGAAAAATAATTATTTGGGTAATAGCTGAAGTTGCTTAAATAATCTCTTCTCTATTAAAAAATCAATTATTGTTTCTTAAATTTTCTGTGTGGTCATTAATTCTCTATTTTGATTTATGAGACTCCTCTGAATTAATTATATTTAGAAGACTTGTGGAGCTAAAATTTTGTATTACAGTAAATGTAAATCTTTCAGCTTCCTGAAATCATTCTTAAGAACTTCATTTCTAAGATGCATTTAAATATATTTTATAATCATTTAATAAGATGCTTTAGTCTGATACATTTACACAAAATTGCCTCTTTGGGGTTGAAAATTTCAAAGGCAGCCTGGAGGGACAGATGCAGCCTGTGGCCATGAGCTTTCAGGTGGCCCCACACTGACATCTGGTGGTTATTCGAACTTCTACCATTTCATTTCTATTGTTTAAAGGAGTACTGGTATACAGGCGTGATTGTTCTTTTCCTCTTCTTCTTTTCAATAATCTCTTTAGGACCTCACAATCAATTTTACAAAATAAAAAGTCTTCCACTCTATTGTTTAGACTAATAAGAAATAGCCTTTCATCCTTTAGCAGCACTGTGGGCGTTGTATGGACCCTTAAGCATTGTTTTTGAACAAACATAATAATGCCCACCCAAAGTGAAATAGCAGCCAAGTGAGAGCTAAATTGTATTCTGACAGCACAATGGCTACATTCACGAGATTTCCAATCATGTTATCCACGTACTTTCATTGACAGGGAGCTTTAAAATGGACTAGGGAGTTTTAGAGACAGCGCAGCATCAGCACCACCTAGAACAGGGTCAGGCAGTGGTTGACTGCAGAGTGGAGGATATGAGCAGGGGAGAAAAAACGGTGGCAATGTGCAATCAATGTTTGGCAAGGTTGATACAGCTACTGGGAAAGGCATGGCTCTAGCAGGCTGATACTAGATAATGTGTGAAAGCCACATAGTGGTTGTCTCTGGCCTGCATCACAGGTGACAGATGTTATTTGTTTATGGCCAGCTGATAGAAGAGAGTGAAAATGAGCTGGGAAATCTGACTTTTGGCATCGAGGTCATTAAAGACATTTCCCACCAATTCGCCCCAGGTTCTGCTTGGTCAAGGAGGAGGTTCTCCCTTTGTGTCCTCATGTCCACACAGGAGTGCAGTGGGGTTTTCAGAGCTGCAGGTTGTCCACAGGTGGTGAGGTGACAGAGTTTCCACCTGCAGCTCTGTATCCCCTGGTGGAGTACATGATTGAAAAGAAAGGATGAGTGAATGAGCAAATAAATGCTGACTTGGACTTCACAGTATTGACATGTGATTCAAAATCGATAATTCTCAGAAGGTCAGGGAGGATATGTAGTTTCAAAGACTTAGATGTACATTATGTGTGTTGCTATAATTCATATAAATATTTATGTAATTTATATTTAGAAGATGAAAAGTTACCTATGTTTTCATAACATAAACTTCAGAAAGTAAACCTCAACTAAGTCTTTTTGCTTGATAAGGGAATTCTCAAGAAGGGAGGGGTAAAGCTTCCTTGGGGAGTTACATCAGAATTTCTCGGAGTGAGCAATTTTTCTTTTTCTTAAAAGATGAGATTTTAATGCTTTTCAATTAGAAAAAGGGTTGACTCCTCCCAAAAACAGTGCTCTTTTTTATGTCTAGATTCAAGATTAAAATAAGATAAGCCATTATCATTGAAACTAGAGGCCCAGTGCACAAAATTCATGCACAGAAGGGGGGTCCCCTCAGCCCAGCCTGAACCCTCTCCAATCTGGGACCCCTCAGGGGATGTCCAACTGCCGGTTTAGGCCCAATCCCTCTCACAATTCTGGACCACTGGCTCCTAATCGTTCACCTGCCTACCTGCCTGGTCGCCCCTAACTGGCCCCCCTGCCGGCCTGGTTGCCTCTAAACACCCCCCCCCTGCCAACTTGGGCACCCCCAACTGCCCCCCTTGCTGGCCTGGTCTCCCCTCATTGCCCCCCCCCCTGCTGACCATGTTGCCCCCAACTGCCCCCCCCTGCTGGCCTGGTCGCTCCCAACTGCATCACCTTCTGCCAGCCTGGTCGCCTCTTACTGCCCGCCCCTGCTGGCCTGGTCAACCCCGACTGCCCCCCCCTGCCAGCCTGGTCACCCCTCACAGCCCCTGCCCCCCCCCCCGCCAGCCTGGTCACCCCACGCAGCCTGCTGTTCAGTCGTTTGGTCATCCCTCACTAACCTCCCTGCTGGCCTGGTTGTAGGCAGCCATTTTATGAGGGTGTGAGGGTTAATTTGCATATTACCTCTTTATTATATAGGATACCTTATAAAAGCAAAGTATTACATATGCCTCAACAAATAACTGTTTCTGAAATACAGATCAGGTTAGGGAGAGAGGGCTTGTATAATCAGAGGATTTTCCACTTTAATGGCATGTTCCCCTAATATAGCTTAAAGCATGAATTGCAAAGCAATAATAATAATATTTTATGCAACTTTTCACAAAGACGTCTAGTACATGAAGTCAACCGACGCTTTTTGGTGACTATAACTTAACTAGAGGCCCGGTGCACAAAAATTTGTGCACTTGGGGGGGGAAAGGGGGGGTCCCTCAGCCCGGCCTGTGCCCTCTCGCAGTCTGGGACCCCTCGGGAGATAACAACCTGATGGCTTAGGCCTGCTCCCGGGTGGCAGAGGGCAGGCCCAATCCCTAGGTGCAGCCCCTGGTCGGGCTCAGAGCAGGGCCGATTGGGGAGTTGGGGCGCTGCCGCTGTCATGCACAGAGCAGGGCAGATCGGGAGGTTGCAATGCCACCCTCAGTCACGCTCAGGGTAGGGCCGATTGGGGGGTTGGGGCACCGCCCCCTGTCACACTCAAGGCAGGGTCGATGGGGAGGTTGTGGCGCCACCCCCTGTCACACACAGAGCAGGGCCAATCAGGGGGTTGGGGCGCTGCCCCCTGTCACTCACAGAGCAGGGCCCATCAGGGGGGTTGGGGCTCCGTACCCTGTCACGCACAGAGCAGGGTCGATCAGGGTGTTGGGGAGCTCCCCCCTGTCATGCACAGAGCAGGGCTGATCAGGGGGTTGGGGTGTCGCACCCTGTCACACTCAGGGCAGGGCCGAAGGGAGGTTATGGCTCTACCCCGTCACACACAGAGCAGGGCCCGTGGGGGGCGGTTGGGGCGTCGCCCTCTATCACCCGCAGAGTAGGGCCGATCATGGGGTTGGGGCGCCTCCACTGTCACACTCAGGGCAGGGCTAATGGGGAGGTTATGGGTCTACCCTGTAACACACGGAGCAGGGCCCGTGGGGGGGGGGAGGTTGGGGTGCCACACCCTGTCACACACAGAGCCACAGGGCGATCAGGGGGTTGGGGAGCTCCCCCCTATCAGGCACAGAGCAGGGCTGATCAGGAGGTTGGGGCTCCTTCCCCTGTCATGAACAGAGCAGGGCCGATAGGGAGGTTGTGGCCCCACCCCTTGTTACACACAGAGCCGATCCCGGTACCAGGAGGCCTCGCAGCTCCACTGATCCCGGTGCTGGGAGGCATATTACCCTTTTACTATATAGGATAGAGGCCTGGTGCACGGGTGGGGGCTGGCTGGTTTGCCCTGAGGGTGTCCTGGATCAGGGTGGGGGTCCCCACTGGGGTGCCTGGCCAGCCTGGGTGAGGGGATGATGGCTGTTTGCAGCTGGTCACACACTCTTCAGGGTGGGGGTCCCCACTGGGGTGCCTGGCCAGTCTGGGTGAGGGGCTAAGGGCTGTTTTCAGGCTGGCGGGTGACAGAAGCTCCCAACCCCTCCTTTTTTTCTTTTTTTTTTATTCTGGGCCAGCTTTAGCTCTGAGGCTCCAGCTCTTAGGCCTCCGCTGCTGAAAGCAGGTGTCTGGTTTGTTTCGGTTCTATAATAGAAACAATGTATAACTCCGGCTCTGAGATCCCGGCTCGCTGAAAGCAGGTTTCTGGGGTTTTGTTTAGCTTCTATATTTGTTAAAATGTTTCAAACTGCAGGCTCAGAGGCCGGCAAGGCAGGCGAGGAACCTGGGAATGTTGGTTTCCTCCGTCACTGAAGCAAGCAAGCCTCATGTTAGTTTCAAGCTGCTTGGCTGCCGGCCGCCATCTTGGCTGGCAGTTAATTTGCATATCACCCTGATTAGCCAATGGGAAGGGTAGTGGTCTTACGCTAATTACCATGTTTCTCTTTTATTAGATAGGATGTGTGGCAAACCTTGCCCTCTATTTACCTCCTTCCAATTCATCTCCAAATGGAAACTGCAGTAACCTTTCTAGAATACGAACTTGAGTGTTTCTCACAGCTGTGCGAATGTCCTGACCTTCAACTTGCTTCCAGTGTTTCCCTGTTGCCAACATGTTTAAGTCCAAACTCCTTAGCATGGCTTAACAAGCCCAGTATGATCTAGATCCAGCCTACCTAACTGCCCTCATCTCTTGCCATTCACCACCACTTCCACCCCAACATACCCATTCTCTGGCCATACAACATTCCTCTCATTCTCTGAAAAACACATGTTTTCTTTCTTATCCAGACCCCCACAATACTATGCCCTCTGTCAAGATTACTCTCTCTCGCCCTAACTGGTTTGGCTCAGTGGCTAGAGCATCAGCCTGCGGACTGAAGGGTCCCAGGTTTGGTTCCAGTCAAGGGCATGTACCTTGCTTGCGGGCACATCCTCAGTGGGGCATGTGCAGGAGGCAGCTGATCGATGTCTCTCTCTCATCGATGTTTCTAACTCTCTATCCTTCTCCCTTCCTCTCTGTAAAAAATCAATAAAAATATTTTTTTTAAAAAAGATTACTCTCTCTCTACTCTGCTCCATCCACCTCTCTGCCTTCACCTAGCCAACCCCTAGTCATCCTTTAGGTCTCAAAGTAGATGTACCTTTCACCAGGAAGCCTCCCCTGACCTCTTAAGTCTGGGTTAGCTGCTCTTCCTCTGTCTTCCAAAAGCACCCTGTAATTCCCCTGTCATAACACATTTTAACTATACTGTAATAGCTTGGTTACTTGTCTGTCTCCATTAAACTGTAAGTTCTATGTGGATAGACATCATTATTGACCACTACTGTATCAACTAGGACCCACCATAATGCCTGGCACATAGTGAGTGCTCAATAAATTTGTATTGAATGTCTGGATATGTATTTTCTTTCATCTCTTCCACTTCAGTGGTACATATTATGCTACTTTGCCTTTGTCTCCTTTCAGTCTGTGATGCTTCTCTTACACAGCCAGCGGCGTTACATCTTTGAGTATGACCAATCGGATTGTCTGCTCTCAGTCACCATGCCTAGTATGGTGCGCCACAGCTTACAAACCATGCTTTCAGTGAGCTACTACCGGAATATCTACACCCCACCGGACAGTAGCACTTCTTTTATCCAAGACTATAGTCGAGATGGCCGACTGCTACAGACCCTGCATGTGGGGACAGGGCGAAGAGTTTTATACAAGTACACCAAGCAAGCAAGGCTGTCTGAGATTCTCTATGATACCACTCAGGTCACATTAACATATGAAGAGTCTTCTGGAGTGATTAAGACAATACACCTGATGCACGATGGCTTCATTTGCACAATCAGATACAGGCAAACAGGTTTGTTATGAAAGGGTGGTGATGTGTATACCACATCATATTTTTAATGAGATTTTTGCTGCCCACAGTATGAGATAGAAACAATAACCCATAGACATTGAGTCCAACAAACTGTCATTTTACTTATAAAAGTATCTTCTATTAACAATTCAAAATACATGCTACATGATAGCTGATTCCTTAAAAACATGCAGTGTATTTCTCTTTTTCTCTCTCATTTCTCAAGAAAACTGAGATCTAAGTACCTAGTCTAACTGTGTACCCGTTCCTACTCACCACCAAGTCTTCCCAAAGATGCAGCTGCAAGATATGAATCTCACTGAAACTAGTTCATGCCCTGTATAACCTCTGTCTCAGCTGATGGCAAATTATCTTCAGAAGTCAGAATTTTGTATTATATTTCATCCTTGGAGTTTCTAAAGTGCCAAAATCCAGTTCCTTGAATACTGGACTTTGTCAAAAACCTGACCTCTGGTTTTGTAACCCAGGTTAAATGAATTGAAAGTATTTTTGTCAGTGATTATAAAAAGAAAACATGTTTATAACATCAGTTTCCTCTTCTCAGCCAGTGAATAGGTTATTGCTTCTATAGTTCCTCTAATTCAATTATTCTGTAATATAGAATATTTTAATTTTTTTTCAAGTCTGGTGACCACACTATGAGAATATATACAGCACTATGAAATGATATACCCAGACATTAGATATCAGAGGTTAATCTCATATTTTATTTTGAAAGTAAAAGCATTAATACTAAAGAAAATAACACTAGACCTTTCTGTTTGTTCAACATTAAACACCTAGCTTTGTTCTCATTATATTGATTTTTATTCCTCCAGGACCTCTTATTGGACGCCAGATTTTCCGATTCAGTGAAGAAGGTCTTGTGAATGCTCGGTTTGACTACAGCTACAACAACTTCCGCGTCACCAGCATGCAAGCTGTGATAAATGAAACCCCTTTGCCCATAGATCTGTACCGATATGTTGATGTCTCTGGTAGAACAGAGCAGTTTGGAAAATTTAGTGTGATCAATTATGACTTAAATCAGGTCATAACTACTACAGTGATGAAGCACACCAAAATCTTCAGTGCCAATGGCCAAGTTATTGAAGTCCAATATGAAATCCTAAAGGCAATTGCCTACTGGATGACTATTCAATATGATAATATGGGCCGAATGGTAATATGTGATATAAGAGTAGGAGTAGATGCCAATATAACAAGATATTTCTATGAATACGATGCTGATGGACAACTTCAAACTGTTTCTGTAAATGATAAAACCCAGTGGCGTTATAGTTATGATCTGAATGGCAACATCAACCTTTTAAGCCATGGGAATAGTGCTCGTCTTACTCCTCTCCGATATGACCTCCGGGATCGCATCACCAGACTAGGAGAAATTCAGTATAAAATGGATGAAGATGGCTTTCTGAGGCAGAGGGGAAATGATATCTTTGAATATAATTCTAACGGTCTGCTGCAGAAAGCCTACAATAAGGCTTCTGGCTGGAGTGTGCAGTATTACTATGATGGGCTTGGACGACGTGTTGCCAGTAAGTCCAGCCTAGGACAGCACCTCCAGTTCTTCTATGCAGACCTTGCCAACCCCATAAGAGTTACTCATTTGTACAACCACACAAGCTCAGAGATTACATCCCTGTATTATGATCTCCAAGGTCACCTTATTGCCATGGAGCTAAGCAGTGGTGAAGAATATTATGTAGCCTGTGATAATACAGGCACCCCACTGGCTGTGTTCAGCAGTCGAGGTCAGGTGATAAAAGAGATATTGTACACGCCCTATGGAGATATCTATCATGACACTTACCCTGACTTTCAGGTCATCATTGGTTTTCATGGAGGACTCTATGATTTCCTTACTAAATTAGTGCACCTGGGGCAAAGGGATTATGATGTTGTTGCTGGTAGATGGACGACGCCTAATCATCACATATGGAAACAGTTGAACCGCCTTCCTAAACCATTCAACCTCTACTCCTTTGAAAATAACTACCCGGTTGGCAAAATTCAAGATGTTGCAAAGTATACCACAGGTATTTAAACAGTGTAAAACTTTACACTGAGTAAAGTGATAACTCAATGGTGTTTATCACATAATCTCAATGCCTTTGTAAATATGCTTCCTCTTCCTGCCAGTTAGCCCACAAGTTATTGTGCAGTTACTCTCTTCCTTAGTCTTCTAGAGTGAGAAAAACTGTTCATAAATACGATGCTTTTGCATTGCAGTATATCTTTACTTCCCTTGTAAGCTTTCTTTTTGTAGTTTTCATGCTTAAAAACTTACACAAATAATTTTATAAAAGAAAAATTCAAGATCTGTTGCATCAAATAAATCTAATATCACAGTCTGTGTGGCCTTAATACCACTACCATGTTAAGAATTTCAGTACATGCCCTAGCTGGTTTGACTCAGTGGATAGAGTATCGGCCTGCAGACTGAAGGGTCCCAGGTTTGATTCTGGCCAAGGGTACATGCCTGGTTTGTGGGCTCAATCCCCATTGGGGGCATGCAGGAGGCAGCTGATCAATGATTCTCTCATTACTGATGTTTCTATATCTCTCTATCCCTCTCCCTTCCTCTCTGAAATCAATAAAAATATATATAAAAAAAGAATTTTAGTACAAAAAAAAAGGACCTCACCATGTAGCTCAGGTGGTTAGAACATTGTCCCGATACACCAAGATTTCAGGCATGATCCCTGTTCAGGGCACATACAAGAATCAACTAATGAATGCATTAATAAGCGGAACAACAAATATCTCTCTCTCTCTCTCTCTCTCTCTCTCTCTCTCTCTCTCTTTCTCTCTATTTAAGAAAAAGAAATAAATTTTTAAAAATAAAAACAAGAATTTCAGTGCAGTGAAATGAGCCTATCTGTGATTATCCATGAACCAAAAGGTTTCCCAGTAGAGGACCATATGTTTTAGAGTGAGTGATATAAGGGGGAATTTTATTCCTAACTTCCCATTGACCAAACATATTGAAGGCAGGAGAAGCATCTTTAAAGCTTTCCATAAAGGTTATAAACTAAGGGCTTTAAAATTTTTTCCCTTTAATTTTGTGTCTCATAGACATTGGCAGTTGGTTGGAGCTATTTGGTTTCCAGCTACACAATGTACTACCTGGATTTCCCAAACCAGAGTTAGAAAATTTGGAATTAACTTATGAGCTTCTACAGCTTCAGACAAAAACTCAAGAGTGGGATCCTGGAAAGGTTAGTATGTTTTACCAACTCTACTTAACTGAAAAAACAAAACAAAACAAAACAAAAAAACACAGGAGAGCATTCAACACCATAAAATGGTATTAACATATATTTGGTTACTTATTTTTGAGTTGTCTTTAATATTCACTAAAATATCATGATTAAGGACAAAGTAGAACAAAAGCTTTAATGGGGAAAGAATCAGGGGATTAGAGCTCTTGGAAAAGAAAAGACTAACATGTGACTTGATGACTAGTGGGGTAGACAAGCACAGGAAAGAGGAAGTGAACTTATAAAATTCTGAAATGGGCTACCTAGGTCAATTAGAGAGTCTATATAAAGACAATTGTTCATGAAAAGACATGAAAACATCAGATTTCCAACTGCAAAATAATCTAGGGCAAAGTGCATGAAGAGCATGGGAATAACAGAATTAAATTATTTTGATAAAGAAAAAATATATAAGCAGTGAAGCAAAAATAATATTACAGTGATAGTCTCTAGAAAAATATAAATACCAAAACCTTCATGTTTTAGCAGATGATTTTGTCAGGAGTATGAGGTGCAAATGAGAGCAAGAAGGAACTTTTTCTTTTAATTGAAAAAATAAGAATTTCTGTGTTAGCAAAAAAAAATGGCTTTAACAACATAAAACTGAAATGTGTGTGGGAGAGTTTAAAATGTAAGTGTAAAAAAAATATAAGGGAAAAGAAATTTGAAATAAGTCCTATAAACTTTTCCTTTTTTGTAAATACATATAATATGTAAATGCTTTTTGTAATTAAAAGTCCTAAAGAAGTTTAGCAACATGTTGAAAATTGCTGAAGCTTTCTATTGGATACTTGAAGGTTCATTATTCTGTTCTCTGTTTCTCCATATGTTTGCAAATTTTCATAATAAAAAGGGTTTTTATTTTAAGTTCACGTAAAAAGGTCAGCAAACTTCTTGCTGGTTTGCTGTTGTTATTTATAAGGTCATAACTGCTTGAAAGCAAGAATAATGCCATATGCATCTCTTTATATCTCCCTGTGCCTAACATATTACTCTACACACAGTCATAACAGCTAGTTGGTTTTAATTAAATTGGCAAACATGAAATGTCTTTGTTTGGGGGGAGCTGGACCCACTTAATTTGAAGTGCCTTCTAGCTCTCAATTTCTGTGCTATCAAGTTTGAACATATTTCCTTATGTTTAACTCACCAAGATACCAAGAAATGCATGCCAAGTAATCATGTCACCTGTTAGTCTTTTCTTTCCAAATCTCTGATGAAGAGATTCCAAATTTGGCTTGTTTTTAAATCACAAACCAGCAAATTGCAAGCCTTTGCTTTCCACAGTCAGCAACCGTATGGCAGGTGTTTAATCCTGTACCACATTTGCAGTGTGCCTTTCTTCTTTCCTAGACTATCTTGGGTATTCAGTGTGAGCTCCAGAAACAGCTCAGGAATTTCATTTCCTTGGACCAACTTCCCATGACTCCCCGAAATAATGATGGACGATGCCTTGAAGGAGGGAAGCAACCAAGGTTCGCCTCTGTTCCTTCTGTTTTTGGAAAAGGTATAAAATTCGCCATCAAGGATGGCATAGTGACAGCCGATATTATAGGAGTGGCCAATGAAGATAGCAGACGGCTTGCTGCCATTCTCAATAATGCTCATTACCTGGAAAACCTACATTTTACCATTGATGGGAGGGACACTCACTACTTCATTAAGCTTGGGTCTCTGGAAGAAGACCTGGTGCTCATCGGTAACACTGGGGGGAGGCGGATTCTAGAGAATGGTGTCAATGTCACTGTGTCCCAGATGACTTCTGTGTTGAATGGGAGGACTAGACGGTTTGCAGATATCCAGCTCCAGCACGGGGCTCTGTGCTTCAACATCCGGTATGGGACAACGGTCGAAGAGGAAAAGAATCACGTGTTGGAGATTGCCAGACAGCGCGCTGTGGCCCAGGCCTGGACTAAGGAACAAAGAAGGTTGCAAGAAGGGGAAGAGGGTATTCGGGCGTGGACAGAGGGGGAAAAGCAGCAGCTTTTGAGCACTGGGAGGGTACAAGGTTATGATGGGTATTTTGTTTTGTCTGTTGAGCAGTATTTAGAACTCTCTGACAGTGCCAACAATATTCACTTTATGAGACAGAGTGAAATAGGCAGGAGGTAACAAAAAAAATCTCTGCCTTTGCGTCACCAAAGACTGCCTGTTTTTAAAACATAAAATGGTTTATTGTATTGGTTTTCTAGATCAGAACTCTGTATATGTAAATATGGAGGGAAAACATATCCAACTGCCTTTCAATGTGACGGAAGATGGTATTTTAATATTGTTTAAACTCTTTAAGAAACGACAGATTTTTAGTTCTCGTGTGGCAGTATTCAAAATAACACAAGTAGAACTGAAACAGCTAAAAACAAAAGGTTTTCAGAAAGCACCACTTTAAATTTGTCGAGTCATGCATATATATATATACAGAATATACAGAATATATATATATATATTCAAATATACAGAAAGATCCCAAGGTTCTATATCTCTATTGCGACATGAAGTTTCATATTTAACTGTTGGCAGACAAAGTGGTGCAATAAGTATCTAAACCTTGCATTTCGCAAGAATGCCAGCGCTTTCACATTTTCCAGATCTGCTATAGGACACTTCAAAGAAGTATGAAATGTCCTCAGCCACGATCTCCTAGAGTCGAGAACCATTTGCCCTTCCTCCCTGATTATTCCTTCCTGCTTGTTAAAGTAAATGCCATGTTGTTGTGCTGTGTTTGGGCGTGTGGTGGCTGCGTTCTGTCTACCATGCTTCCCTATGGGTGTGGTACCCAGACTGAATTGCCACAATTTGCTTGTGTGCGCCTGATACCGAGGCAGCTGGCCAATGTAACTTCTCCCATACCACCTGTTTTGACTAAATTTTGTTTTACTAAATTGTCCAGCTGTATTGGCGCCATGTAAGCATAGCTTTTATTAACCTGGGTAGCAATTTCTCATTTATATATAGGGTGTGTTTTGGTCATAGTTTCACATTAGTGATTCAGTATTTATACACTAATCCAATAGTTTTGTGCACACGAAAGGTGACTTACTACAAAGTGTGATTCTGGTACAAAAAAAAAGAGAGGCTTTAGCAGGCATATATGCCTGGGATGCCGATAAATTACATTCACTACTACTGCAGAAATTCATAAGAGCCAAAACCTTTAAAAACTAGACTGAATACTAAACTTGAAATGAAAGTATCAAAGGGGAGACCAAGCTAAACATCACAGTAGTTGCTCTACATTGTTTCAGCTCAGTTAGATTTATCTTTTAAATGTACCATTCTGTATTGAACATCTCCCAACCATAGTCAGGAAATTTAATTAAGTGTACCCTTTCCAACCTAAAACATTTCAACTAATTATAGAGAGACAGACTATTTTTTATTAAAATAATGTATATGGTTAGTTATTTTAGTTCTCTGTCTTTGCCCATTAAATTGATTTAATCATATCTCCTGCCTAGGAAAATTACTATTTTCCAGGAAGGAAATGTGATTTTCTTCTGCAATCATTTAAAAGTTGGGAAAAGATTAGAATTAGTGTTAATGTCAGCTGCAGTTTCTCAATCTCTGAGAATCCTGTAGTAAAAGAAGCCTCTTGGTGAGCTGGGAGATTTGTGCCCAGTGACAAAGAGACAGTTTGTAAAATGCTGTGTAATTGGAAGTTACCATGAATGAAAATGTGTGACAGCGTGATGTGGCCCGTAGAAAATCCCCCTGAGCCAGCTTCAGCACTTTCATCCCAAGTCTGAACACTTGCTGTGTCTAAAGGAGAATTTACGATGGGATGTTACAGTCTGGATTCTTTCCAGCTACTACCTAAATGCAGTGTGGGGGTCATTGCCTTGCTTTCTGATGACAGTGTCTTTGAAAATATGCAAAGTCAGAATCCAGGCTCAGGCCAAGGTTTTTAAAGAGTCTGGCTCCTTACTACACAAAGTAGAGTGAGGGAAAAGCAAAACCCACAGATTGTAGGGTAGGGTTTATCTAAACATTTCATTTTCAAAACCTTCAGGTTGGCATTACCACATTCTTACACATGTATCGAAAGACAGTGAGGGAGGGAAAAGATTCATGATTAACTCATCTCTCTTTTGAATTGGAAGAACACCAACTCAAGAGATTACTAATCCAGACTACAATCATATTATTGGTTTTTATCCCTGAATCAGGAGTGTGTTACTGGTACAGTATTTATTCAGGATGGGATTCTAAAATGACTTACAAACTTGTTGAAAATTTGAATACCTCCACACCAGCCTAAAAATTGACCTTAAGTTCCTAGAATCTCTGATGTTCTTTTAAGTTAATGGAAAAATAATTTGTGAACTGTATATAGAGAGTGCATTCATAAGTGTGATGATGTATTTTATCACTAATCCAAGATGTCGATATTAGAGTCTATTTTGCTTATATTTTAAGTGTTATAATTTTTGCAATTCACTGATGGTGTATCATTTTCAAACTGCTTTAAATATTCATTAGAAACAAATATTTGAAGATTTTACTTAAAAGTAATTACCTTAAACTGTGCATTTCTAGTTTGTAATATATATTTATTTAGTTTGTGCCTTTAGTTTCTGAAAGTTATATTTGTAATATATTCAGAAAATGCACTTTTTATCACTTACAGCTGTGGTTTTCATACTGCCTTGAACTATTACTGTTCTCTTTACCACTTCCAAAGTTTTTTGGAGGAAAGAGAAAAACCCCAAAGGTTAGAACTAATGAGTAGTAAATATAAGAGAAACATTTTGGCATTTCTTATTAAGAATGTAGAGATATTGAGTACATTGCTTCCTATTTGGCTGAATACAAAGAATGCCTTCATTGACTTGTAGTTCTGAAGTTTAAATTAAAGACAGGACAATTAATTTGCATTTCCTGATGAAAGTAAAAGCATTTTAAAGAGAAATAGTTGCCCTAACCGGTTTGGCTCAATGGACAGAGCATCGACCTGCAGACTCAAGGGTCCCAGGTTCGATTCCAGTCAAGGGCATGTACCTTGGTTGCAGGCACATACCCAGTAGGGAGTGTACAGGAGGCAGCTGATCGACGTTTCTCTCATCGATGTTTCTAACTCTCTGTTCCTCTCTGTAAGAAATCAATAAAATATATTTTAAAAAAAGAGAAATAGTTGATGTTTCACACCCAACATACAGGCAGCTGACACTAAACAGCCATACCCTATTTAATCAATTAGAGTGAGAGCACAGTAGTTGAGCCCTCCTCTGAAGAACATTCTGGGCTGGAGGCCAGGAACACTCTGTGGTTGTATTCCCTGTGTTTTTTCCTAGTTAGGCCCATTTTATTTGCGCTTTTTTGTTATTACCTTGGTTTGTTTTTACTTTTGCACTATAGTCTAGAGATCCAAATGAGCTGAAAAGTTCACAGTTTAACAGACATTTAAATACTTTATTTTTAGTTGTCATTCTAATCATTATTGGTTAGAAGCATGACTCCTGAGAGGGAAATAAAGCCCAAAATTTAGCAAAATACTCACTATATAAATAGGCATATGTTTTATTTTTAACCCAGCAAAATAATGTATAAAATAAGCGTGTCCTTCACTGTCAATTTATCTAGAAGATCTATAATATATAGACTATATAAATATATATATAATATATGCAACATAGCCAAATGAATGAAAACTTAATAATGTATAATTTGGAACTCATATGCTAACTACATAGAGAGGTCTAAAAGTAAATTATAATTTTCACAAGATTTTTTTTCATCACTGTTGGCACAGTTTCAAGCATTCTACCATGTTATTTCTACATTTTTCTTCTTTCTTTTCTTTCCTTTTAAAATATATATATTTTTTTAACCAGACCAGGCCCCACTATAATACCGTAACCTAAGAGAGTCAGGGCAAAGTTTTTGCATTTATGAAGATATGTTTCTGTAAGAACAATTGTAGTGGCGTTCAGTGGTAATGGAAGCAAAAGTACAGTAATCAAGTATTGAAAGAAACTTGGAGAGACTGGGGTGTATTATAGCTTATGGAAAACAGAAGGCTACAGACTGGATGCAACATTCTTGTTTTCTTGGAGAAACTCACATACACATAGCCGACCTGACTAGTACTAGATTCAGACTGCTCTTCCACAGCCTTCTGTAATGTTGTTTATTCTGAAAAAGAAAAAAAAAGAAAAAAAAGAAAAACAAACAAAAAAAAAAACGGAAAACAACAAACAGCAACAAAAAAGAATTCAACCACAAAATAGTGACTGTTATGTCAGTGTGTCCTTCATGTGAAAGCTATTAAGGACCAAATATACTACTGTGTGTAAGAAGAAATTACTTCCTAAACAGTAAGTGAAAATAGTTAGAGTTAAACTTGCTGTGGATTTTGTCTTGGCGGTTGTCATCTTACATTATTTGTCAAAGGAAATGTGTTTGGCAGTTAAAAATCTTTCCTTAGATTTAGTGGTGGACTTTAACCTCTTAAATAAATGTTAGTATATCAGATTGTGTCCTTGAAAAATATTTTACTTGTATGAATCATGACAATGTCTAGATCTTTACTGTTCTTCTGGCAAAAGCATCAGTAAGAGAAAAGGTGAAAAAGAGAAGTATAGCCTTTATGTCAGAAAAATATTCTTTTTAGCTGCTTACTTTCTCATGAGAAGTAAAGATGTTTACAGTGTATGCCAAGATTTTCAGTTTCTATATAACAACAGTTAGAGGTTCTAATCATACTGAAAATTGTGTTATAATGGCCTGAGCCATGTTGCTAGGAAACAATAGGTTCCAATTTTGTATTCCTGCTCTCACTCCTGTGCTGAAAAGTGACTGGATACTGTACAGGTTCATGTTCTCTGGCTGCAGTTAAATGGTCTTTTGCATTTTGCTCTGGTTTTCAGGCCAGAAGCATGCATTTTTCTACAAGAGCATCACAACAACATGCTGTAAATATTTAAAGTTCAACATTATGTGTCGATATTTGAAAGAAAAAAGTACTTTGAATATTTCGTTTTTAAAAAATAAAATAGCAAATGAACGCTGCGTCCCATTTTATTCATGCGCCAAATGACCTTCTCTAGTCAGTTCAGTCACCTGAGGTGAAAAGGGGCTCCCCTATCAGGAAACAATAAACCTGTGCTTTATTGAAAATATAGGCGCAAAAATTAAAAAAAGGCACTAATCCTAAGCAGACATCTCTTCATTTTATTTTTCATACAAATAGAATATCTGGCACAAATGACCATTTAAGGAAAAAAATTTAAAAAAAAGAATAGTAGCTATTGAAATTTTAAATGCCTCTAGGCTATGACTTGTAAAAATGTTTCTCCCCTGTTGATGCGTTTCTGGGCAATAGAAAGAATATCAAGAATTGTAAGATGAGGCTGGGGGAGAGTTAGGAGAGCAGGGTACTCAAATGCATTGGTAACGAAATAACTGGCAGGGAGGGCAATCAGGAAAGACTCAAAAACAATAGCTCTTCTGAGTCCCTAGGTCCTAGGCAATTACAATGGCCATTTGGCCCTGACCTTTTCACAGGAAGACATTTACTAGTGACACAGGGAAAGCTGGCCAACAGATCTTCCCAAATGCAACTTGATAATAATGGGGTGCTGTAGTCCAAACAGTCTATTCCTGAAACTGGCTTGGAATCCTGGAATTTACAGCACTTTCTAAAATGCCCCACTGCCTTTCATTCACAGATATATTCACAGATACAGTGAAAAGATTCGTGAAGCAAAAGACAATCCCAATTATCTCAGCACAGCCCATCAGCAAAATGCAGCATGAGGTGCTGGTGGGGGTAGATATTAGTATCATCTGGAGATTTTTTCAAAATATGCATCCCACCCTCAGAGTACAAAAAGAAAGAGGCAAGCACTTCTACACTGAGAGAATTATTAGAGATTTAAGAGATTTCTCCATATTCTCCATTCACTCTCACTTTGAGAGATCTTTGAATATATATATTCATTTTAAAAGTCAAATTGCCTAATGATGAAAATTCAGCCTTTTACTACAAGTTTGGACAATGATCCCAAATTATGAAAGTGTCTAAACTGGGTCGTTTAACTTCACCCCTAGCTGCAAACCTGCAAACTGCGAAATAATGGTATCCCATTTACTGCAAGGGCAAACATAGGCAACAAAATTGCATTTATAGTCCACTAACAGAAAGATTAGGCATCTTGTAACCTTGAAATGCCCAAGGGCAAATGTGGGTTTTATTATTAATAGACTCTGGAGTCTGAACTCAATAAAGTGAATCTAATAAAACACAAGTTGATGTCTACACATTTTAAAGCTTTCTCTCACACTTTAAATTCTCTATGCATTCTACCACAAATATCTTAAATTCAGCCCACTATTTATACCAGAACATTTAATTAGAGGCATTCTCCATAGACCCACTCTACCTATGGGCCACTACCAC